TATATCATCAAGTCTCAGCTCACCCTCAGATTGATTGGAACCCATTGTTATCCATTCATTTGCTGAATTCAAAATGACATCCTACAAAATAGCATGAGATTAGTGAAAATAATTCTGCATTAATGTTTTCCTCTTATAAAGACTAGGCTAAAAAACTTCTCTGTGGTTGTAAATCATTGAAGACAGACAGTAAAACTCACCCTCTGATATCTGCTGCTTGGTAAAGCCTTGCAATAGTTGTTAATGCAGTATGTGAGTGAAGTCTGCATGTCATGTTGCACTGTGGTTGGCTATTTTCACATTTCCTATCAGCAGCCTCACACAGGAAATGCTCTTCAAAATCGCACACCCTTTCAGAATTTTCAGCCAAAAAAAAAAAGTCCTAATAAACAAAAAAAGACTAGACAAAAATCCAGTGAGCGTATTAAATTTATTAAGCATCATTATAGTTTTCACCTGTCCGTGATGGCATCTTTACCCATTCAAATCTTATTTGCAGATTTGCAGAATTGTAATGGAAATGTTTTAGTAGAAATAAAATAATTTACCAAATGACCACAAGAGAGCAGTAAAGTGTTCTGAGTCTCAGCTTAACCTTGCAAAAGGGACTGTGGTAATACCATGGTACAATGATGTATCAGGAGGTAGTACCCCGGTGCTGAATTATTACCATTTTCTTCTAGTTTGGTAGTAGCATGCAGTTTGGATGTTTTAAATAAATTGTTCCTTTTTTTTTTTGGCAAAAACTTATAACAATACAATCTATAACAATACAATAATTCATATATAATTATAATAATTATATCTAAAAAAGCTAATTAATGTTTAATCTATACTAATCATATATCATTTATGTATATGTAATTATGTCATTTGTGTATCATTTTATTAATAGATTGCATATGCATAATGTATATTCCACAAATTAAGAAATTTGGTACTGTATGTCTTTTAGAGTTAGATGTATGTGTTTGAGGGAGACCTGTATATGTAAACTTGCTTGTGTTGGAAAGAATGTTTTTTCACACTGTGATATTAATAAATACTAACAGACAGTCTTGTTGACCACACATGACCTTTTATTGGCTATATCCACAGGTTTCAACTGACAATCATTTCTGTATAGGTGCAGTAAAGGACTACAAGTTAGTAAAAAACAAGTTTTTCTTGTTTAAGAAATTATAAATGATGTGGCAGAAGGCCTTAAACAAAGTGACTTCTCAGTACAATTTGCCATTGAAACTCACAGTTAAGAACCAATAGTCATCACTCCGAAATCTGATGTGTGCTTTTATGATTCGGCAAACAGGCTGATCGCTGTCTGCTCTACGTCTGTGACCACAGCAAAATGTATAACTATTGCACTGAAGCAAACTCTGTGGTAATGTGTGTCATAGTGGCTGTTTCATTTTGCATTTCACAGATCATGAAAGCAAGCTTCCCTATGAAGTAATCTCATGCTCTTATCTTATCAGTAACAGCCCTCAGTGTTTTATTGTTGTTTCCACTAACCAGTTCTCAGAAAAGACACCGTGAAGAACTGTTCATCAGGAAAACAAAACAGAGGAGATAAACCCTTTAGTAACTGCTGTTAAGCATCTGCTTTGAGGCTTTGTGAACAGACAATGCCATCCTTTACATTAGTACAGTAACTAGGGGGGCAAAATGATGACCGTTCCTCTGCTTGTATGGGTTTCTTTTTATTTCTGCAATATTTTATTTGACCTACTTGATGATCTTTGTGCTGTTTATGTCTGGGTCTAATATTGCATCACCTCATGCAGTCTGCCCAAGCAGATTTGGCCATTAAATAATACCATCCACATACAACATATAGTACAGAAAATTAGCCTTTCAATTCGAGTTTCATTCAATTCTTTAGGTTCTGGAAAAGTTTGTCTTTACCTCACGGCATCGACATGAAATAAAACAATTTTACATTCAGTCCAAACTAATATGAAGCTGTTGGCAGGGTAGAGGAGAAAAGAAAATGCAGGCGGTTTTAACTTATTTGACATACCAGTTATCATAAACACTCATTTGACATGAAATGGATAATTTTTATACATTTCAGTAAATTATGTGTTGTGACTGTGAAAAGCGTTACAAACAAAGGGACAATTTAGGTGGTCAGTTGTATGTGCAGAGACTAGAAAGAATGTGGCCTACAATCTTTTTGATGGCTAATGTAATTATTACAGTTATCGCTAGATACACTCTATCCTACAGTTTATGAAATCAAGAGACTCTTAGGCCCAATCCCAATTCTACCCCTTAGCCCTTCCCCTTTCCTTTCTTGTTTCAATTCTCTTTTGGTTGGAGAGGTAGGGGTAGGGGAAGGGCCAGACAGCCCAAGGGGTATAAAATAGAATTGGGATTGGGCCTTAATGTAAGTCAGTGAGACCAGAAACAAGGTATTATGTTTAACGTAAATCAGCGGTGGTCATTTCTTTTAATAAATACTTTATATTTTGCTACTATGCCATGATGAACGACTGTGCAACTATCAGCATTTGTTTCACCTCACACATACAGTACACATATCCATTACAGTACCATTCACATACAAATCAATAAGCTTGACTGAGTGTTTATCATCATGTATGGTTGAACTTACTGAGGTGAAAAGGATGATGCCCTGACAGTTTTCTTATCAGAATAATAACAAAATATCACATACAACATTCAGCTAATGGCTAATCCAAAAATGTAAACATCAGAATCCTACCTTCGAGCAAAATTCTGGATAGAAAATGTTATTTTTTTTAAAAACAGCACATATTTTTCTAAATCCCTCCTCCCTACATAGATCTAACTGCTGCAGATCTCTTGTTAACTGTTTGATAAAAACGGTACAAAAAATACTGCTGCATAAAAATTAAAAAAAAGAATCAAGCTCTCAAGTTTTCACATGAAAATTGGACAGCATTATTT